CCGTGGAGGCAGACCAGCATTCTCTGTGGGGCTCAGAAGGCTGAAGGCAAGACAAAGCCTGCCCACTGCCTGAACAGGAAGCAACGGAGCTGCTGGCACAGGGGCTGTTTCTCAAAGGCGCTGCAGGAGAGGGAAAGAGCACTGGCCTGGAGTTGGGGGACAAGTGCTAAGTTGGCTCTGTGACCTTAGGCAAGTCACTTAACCTGGTAACCTTTGCTCTCGCTACCCCCTCAGAGCTAGAGCTGTGCGGAGCGGCAGATCAGAAAATGGGTTGAAAGGGGTCTATAAAACACATGGGATAATAAAAATAACAGCAAAATCATCCTCTTTCTCCTCTTTGATGACATATTTCTTTCTGTTTCACTACCTAGGGAACAAGCTTTTCTTCCTCACTGTCAGAGAATGGAACTGTTTATAAGCCCTTGCTTATCAGACTTCCAAATTAGTCCCCCTCCAGCCTACCTAGACTTCCCCCTGGAAAATCTAACACGGAATGAGATCTCAGAAACCATCCATAGTCAGTTCAATTAGCCAGAGAATTTTACTTACAATGATTTGGCTTTATTTTTTGCAAAGAAACGCGTGTGTATTTTCTACACAGACATGCGCATGTGTGTGCACGCAGCAAAAGGTAATAAGCAAGAAGGGGCATCAGAACTCTGAAATCTAACCCGTCTTTCCAGAGAAACATGGGTGGGGGTCAAGATCAAAAGCAACTTGTTTAATTCAATTTGGCTTGGGCGTGGAAAGGGGAGAAGTACTTGTTTTTGGGGGGGTCCTTGGTATAGTTTTCTTTTTTAAATACTTTTAAAGAAAAATTTAACATTTATTTCTTTTTGAGAGACAGAGAGAGACAGAGCGTGAGCAGGGGAGAGACAGAGAGAGAGGGAGACATTGAATCCAAAGCAGGCTCCAGGCTCCAAGCTGCCAGCACAGAGCCCGACACGGGGCTCGTACTATGGACAGCAAAATCATGACCTGAGCCAAAGACGGACGCTTAACCAACTGAGCCACCCAGGCACCCCCTCAGTATTGTTTTTACACAACTGTTTCGACAGAACATTGCTATCTTTTTGGTCAGTGAGGGTGACCTGTTGTTGGTAGTGCAAAAGACACAATCATGGACATGATACAAAACACAGAACTTGGAAGAAGCTTCCAGATTAACTCGAATTGAACCCTCACATTTTACACATAAGGAATCTGTGGCCCCCAGAAGGAGAATGCTTTGCTCCCGATCATGGAGATGGGTGGGGCGCGAGCCTGGACCCGCACCCCGTCTACAGCTCTTTCCCCTGCCATGTGCCTGCCGACAGGGCCGCAGCGGCTGTTTCCCAAGGCAGGCAGGAGACAGCCCGACAACGCGGCGCTGCCTCGGCCTCTTCTCAGGCTCCTTCTGGGGCAGCTTGTTCTGCTGGTGGGGGAGGGGACCATCGGCCCAGAAACCAAGGTGCCCGGAGCTGAAAGGCCCATCTGTGGCAGTCAATTCACCCGAACACGTTAACAAGCGAAGGAGACGCTGCACAAAGCAGCAGTTACGGCCTGGCCCCTCTGCCGCTGGACAGCCGTTTATCACCTGCAGCTGCACTCGCTGGGCAGCCTGCTGGGCGCTGCCTCCCTTGCAGCCCTGTCTGCTTCCCCTGCGGGGCGGCCTGCCGTGTCAAAGCTGCCCGGCCCCACTCACGGTCCAGGTGGGAGTCACCAAGCCTTTCAAACCCAGGCCGTCTTCAGCGGCTCCTGTGAAATCTATGTTTGTCCTTCCCCTTAGCCCTGGAGGAGGAGTCGCTGCCCTGCTGCCGGGATCTCTGAGGCTTTTCCTCCGACCCAGCTAACGATACCTGGCTCCTGAGTGCCCCAGACACTCTGATTTGGGAGTGACGAAACCAGTCACAAATGTCTAAGGGCCCTTGGTCTCACCACCGTGTGAAGAGGGAAGACGGCAAGCGTCACATGAGTAAAACTGTGATCTGCTCCGAGCCCTCTTGGGCCACACAATCTAGTTTACAGCTTTAGATGCTAGTTTTCCAGAGAGGAGACCACTGTGAGTTTAAAGGGAACAACCTCCATAATGCCTCTGTGCCTCATTCTCCCCTCTCTGCCCCCATCACCCCTGCTTGCCACGCACGGCAAGCTTCCTGAAGGCCCAGCTCTGGTGACGCGCTCCACGTTTTATGTCCACAGACTAAAGTGCTAACTTCTCGGCCAGCCACAGCTCTTCACAATCTGGTGCCAGTTGACTCACCCAGGCCACAGACAATGAAGGATTCTTCCAGCTGTGCCTGGCCCATGGGTGCCACCACGCTTCTGCCTCCACCTGTGTGGGTCTTCCACCTGTTACCTCCAATCCGGTGGAGGTGCAGAGGCCTCCCCTGTACCCCAGCCCAGAACAGGGGCCCGGCACGCACTCTTCTGGCACTTGGCCACAGGAGAGGCGCCTGTGATATTGCCTGGCACAGGCCCCCACCACCCTCAGGTAGGGCTACCTGAGTGGAGGGAAGATGATTTCAATAAAGAATTTCTCTGTGAAGGCAATTTTAGAACTTCACTCTCTTTCCCATCCTTCTAGCAGTGGTTCTCAATGGGGAAGGCATGGTTTTCTTCCCCAGGGGACATTTACAATATCTAGAAATATTTTTGGTTATCATGACTTGGGGGGGGTTGCCCCTATAGCAAAGGACTGTCCAGTCTCCAAAGTAAATATGCTGAGGCTGAGAAACCTTGTATTTGGGTAACTAACAAATTGCAACATGGACTCCACTGTTTCCTTTCTACGGGTGATGCCAGCAAACAGTGAAATACCTAAAGTAAGTGGTAAGGACAGAAAAAGATTTGCCCAGGGGCGCCTGGGTGGCTCAGTTGGTTAAGCCCCTGCCTTCGGCTTAGGTCATGATCTCCCAGACTGTGAGAGCCTGCGTCGGGCTCTGTGCGACAGCTTGGAGCCTGGAGCCTGCTCCTTCCGCACTCATGCTCTGTCTCTTTCCCTCTCTCTCTCTCTCTCTCTCTCAAAAAATACACATTAAAAAAAAGGAAAGAAAGAAGAAAAAGATTTGCCCAGCCTGAATAACCATAAACTGACACAATCAAAGGGAGTCACTCACTCCTGCTTCGGGGTCCCTGAGAAATATCCTAGATGGCAGTGTGGCAGTCCCGTTTCAGGGTCCCTCAGAAATATCCTAGATGGCAGTGTGGCAGTCCCCAGATGCCACAGCATGGCAAGCTTCTCGGCACACGCTGCTTTCTACTGCTGACTTCAGATTACAGGGCGGCTACCCAGAGTGGGGCAGTTCAGCATTCCTGCGTGGGGCCAGCTAAGTGCGGAAAACCTGAGTTAGGACTGCTTGCACGGCAAACACATCTTGAGCACCTCCCTGTCTGGTCCTGTATGAGCACCGGGGACACAAAGAAATGATAAAGTGGCTGTCCTCAAGGAGCTCCTAGTCTACTGGGGACACAGAGTAGTAAACAAATAATTTCTGACATTCACTCTTGGCGAGGATGATCTAACTTCCATTTTCCTTTAAAAATCCTTCTGGGAAGGGAGACAATAAAGTAGAAAAGAAAGCAGTGGAGCCACACTGCTGATTAAAATCTATATTGCTGTGGCAGCCCCTCTGAGACGAGATCAGCTCCTGGGTTTGCACCAGCTGGGCTTGTGGAGCTTGTAAATAATTAAAAGGTAATTGGAAGGGAGACCAAAGTATTAAGTGGATTTTTCGCTCTCAGGGCAACCAGGGAGTTTCACTGCTGCCAGTCACATTATCTTTGGGGATTATATTCTTGTTTTGCATTGGCACATGCAGCTCCAGATAGCAGCTGGAGGAGTAAACTGTGGGCTGCCTGGACGGCTCTGAGAGGCTTGGAGATGGGAGGACACGGAGACACCAAACTTCCTACTACCTCTGTAAGCAAACCAGCAGTAATATGCACGCTACTAAGACAGCAGTGGGGCTTTACAAGGTAAAGGAAGAGGAAGGAGGAGAGGGGGAAGGGTGTGCTGGGGGGTCGGGGGAGAAGAGGGAGAGAAAGGAGTTAATGCAGAACAGTACCTGCTGGGGGCTGCCATTATAGCTCAGCCTAAGATAAAGAGGAAGATTTCATTCCTGGGTCTCAATAAAGGAGCAGACACAGAAACCAAGAGATACACAACCAGACATAGGCAGGGTCCCAGGCAGGAGGCTGGTGGGAACAGCTGTGCTGTGTGGCTCTGTCCTGAGGGTGATGAAGGTGGAACTACACAGGTTGCTGAGGACCTTCTAGACAGGCTGGCTTTCTGGCCATGCTTCCTGCGGGCTAACCTGGCTGGTGAACTCATTGCTATGACAGAACATAAAGCCAGGAAGTTGAGTCATTGGGCTCAAGACTCAGTCCCACCAGGGTCCAACGTGGAGATGGCTGGGGTGGGGAGTGGGAGTGAGAAGGAGAGAAGGACAGAGAAGTGAGAAGGCGCATTATAAAGTAGGTGCCCATGCAGAGCGCCCCAAACCAAGCCACGGGGTGCAAAAACCAGAGCCAATGGGTAAGAAAAAACGAGTTAGCCTTTCCTTTTCACAGATCATTTCAGACCCTCTCAACAAATCCCGAGGGACCTCTAGTCTTTTACTGGCCTTTCTCAGTGTCTGTAGGACTAGGTACACCAAGAGGAAACCTGACATACTAGTTTAAGTGATGCCCAAAGTTGCTATAAGGCTAAGAAAAAAGTACATTTGAATTTAAAATAACACCAGAGAGGCCGGTTAATCAGAAGAGAGCAACAAAAATAAGGCAGGACCAAATTTAGATGGATCATTCCATTTATTTTCTGCCAAGGCCCTCTCTGTCCTCTTCGATCTGGTTGTCGACTACTCTGCTAGGGTCAGAACCACTCAGCAGTTAAGTGCCTCTTGTTCTCCTGGGCTAAGATGCCAGCACTCTGCAGGGAGAATGGCTAACAGTGACTTACACACAGTAAGCACTCAATTAATATTCACTGAGTTGAAAAACTGAGGAGACTGCACACTCACCCCTCTTCTGCATAAAGACGAAGAGGTCATCCAGGAACTCTTTCCTTTCCGGATCACTGTCCAGTTCATACAGCTGCAATCCCGGTCCCCCAGAAAAAAACACAATGAAAAATTCCATCTAATGCAGGAAGATTTCCACCAGAGATACACAACCATCTATCTGTATGACTACAAATGTGACTCACGGGCCATTCCCATCCTTATTCCTTGGGGATCAGATTTAACAACCCACTGCAGAGCTGCCCCATTCATTATCACAAAGGAGACATTACAGACCTTGGCAAAATCTCGAGAGATCTCTCTTCCCCGGCCTCCGTCCGCATCATCACTCCAGGCCAAACCACCATTCTAAAGGAGAACAAAGCACAGAGTTCAGAAGGGCATAGGAGAGTGACGGAGGACAAGGCAATCTTTTAGGGCAAAGATGAAGACCCTGAGCAATTGTGCTATCTTGGCTCAGACTGTAAAAGACTCCTCAGGTAACCGCCTCTGCTGCTCTTACAGGGACATCTTGTTCTTTCGCTTTCAGTAATGGTTCCAAAGTAAGAGGGAGTCAGGTGGAAGAATCAGGTCCAGTTGTTGGAGGAGGGTGGGTGTTACTTATCCTTGATAATCCTAGAAGAGGAGGAGACAAAGGCCCAACTTTCTGAGAACCTGTTCATCCCTAGCTGATCCTCCCGAAGCCATCACTCTGAGCTGTCCCACTTTTCTTCAGGTTCTACACGGCATGTGTGTTTGTATGATTTTATGGCACGTTTGTATACTACACAGCACGCTGTAAAGCCACGTGACCACTCGAAGTGGAGGATAAAGGATCACAGATGGCAGGTCCTGAAGTTCTGGTCTCTCCACTAAACCTCACCACTGGAAGCTGGAAGTCTAGTGACCAGAACTCCCTAGTGATAGGACAGCCTTCAGAGTTTGACGTTATTCCCAAGGTATACAGACTGTGCCCCTAGGATGAAATTCATTTCCATTAGAGAAATAATGAAAACCTAATCCTAATTTAATTGATTGGGTTAAACCAACACCATTCAGCCAATTAGGAGGAAATAGCAAATACACCTTTGTTTATGTTCCTGGAACCTGCTTCCTGCCTTTATTCAGTTGGGTAACTCTTACTCCTTAGATTAGGCAACATATTCTGGGGGAAGCCTTCCCTTCACTCTTGGCTGCACTAAGTACTCCGGAAGAAATCGCTATACATTTTGAGCTTAGAATTTAACACACTTTGGAATTATCTATCATTCCCACCCTATCGTAAGCTCCTTGAAAGCAAAAGTTTCTCATCCATCTTTGTACCCCCAGCATGGAGCACATTGCTGGCACTTAACAGGCCCCAGCGAATGCCTGATGAACTAGAATCACTGCAAAAAGGCCTTAACTGGCTATTTGAATCAATTAGGCACCTCTTCAAAAAATATACACACATACCATACAGAAGAGTCAAACAGGCCCTCTGCCAGTGGGGAATATGAAATGTCACAGTAGAAGTCTACACTGGTCAGTGGAGGACCCAGTGGATGGGACTGGATGCACCAAGCCTGTCACTCTCTCATTTCTCCCCGAGGACTTCAGGCGCATGCGCAGGCACTGGGGCGTGTAAATGGTTGGGGAGGGGCATCCGGGGATGGGGAGCAGGGGTTTCCTGGGAGGACATTCTTTGGACTGCATAGGGATCTCGCTGTAAAACCTTGTCAGTAACATAAAAGCCTGGTCTAATTCCCTTCTTTTCTATCTTCCCCTCTAATCAAGCTTGCCCGAAAGCAGGACGTATTATTTATTCAGTTATATTCTGGGACCATACTTTGCCTCCCCTACTCAAAGAGGGCTCTGAGATGTAGACCCACTTCCTGATAGCAGCAATTTAGTACACCGTAAGGTAAGTATAACCAAGAAGAAGTGACACTCACTCTGTCAGCTGAAATGAAACAGGCTACACCAAATTGTTTCCCTGCTTATCTCACAAAAGATGTGTGTAAGGAAGTGCTCAGTAAATGCTATCTGACTGTGCACTCATCATCTCCCCAGGCAGACGTTGTTAGAGATCTCTCTACAGCTCTTCGGCTCAGGGAAGCCAATAACCAAGCGGGAGAAACGCTATTTAAAAAAAAAAAAAAAAAAGCTAAGATTCACCCCCACATTGTAATTACAGTCAACAGAAATCTGGTATCATCTGGTGGGAACCAGCACAATGAATAATCAAGATGAATTATGCCTGTCAGGTCAGCAAACCCAGACAGAGTTACAGTCCCCCTTTCAAAAGATGCAGTAGGTTGCCCTAATGCCCAGTGATTTTGTTTGAGCCAGTAATTCCTGCTGGAAAGTCAATTATCCCGGGAGCCCCTATCGGCTGAAAGACATTTAATGGGGGATCATTGCCGCTTCTGTTATGTCAGCTGTTTACTGTGGCAGCTCAATTCCCAACTCTCTCCAGCTAGAGATCTGAAGCACAGGAGGATTTTTTTCTCTATCAGTCACCAAGAGAGATGAAAACACAGTTTTTTGCTAATTACAATAACTTCCAGGCACTCAGAATGCACACTCAGAAACTATTTAACACTCAGCTGGGTGAGGAGGACAGAATCCACAACCTAGAATTCAGACAGGGCTTTCCACAGCAGGAGAGGAGTGTAAAAACAAGCACATCAGTACAACCACTGTGTGACTATGTGTGAAAATAAACACCCAAGTGCGAGAGCTCAGCTCAGGAACAGAGGAGAAGGGTGGGGGCTGGGGCTTGTCATGACCCCTTGGCTTTCTCCAGCTCTGCTTAGACATCAGAACCCAAGTGGTGGGAGAATCAGACCTCGCACTAGCTGTGGCTCGCTAAATATGAAACACTTGCAAATCTGCTTAGCTATGGGATTTTAGCCTAACACCCTAGCTCAATGACCACAGAAGACAGGGAAATTTGCCAGAACGGGACGGAAAGAGGACACTCAACTCTTTGGGCAATGCTACCATTTGACCCATTCCACAGATAGGAATTTTAGTTATGATTTAAAGAAAACACAGGAAGGGCACCTGGGTGGCTCAGTTGGTTAAGCATCCGACTCTTGGCTTAGGTCATGATCTCATGGTTTGTGGGATCGAGTCCCATGTTGGGCTCAGCGCTGACAGCAGGGAGCCTGCTTGGGATTCTCTCTCCCTGTCCCTCCTCTGCTTGCTCATGTGCAAGCATGCGTGCGTGCTCTCTCTCTCAATAAATAAATGTGAAAAAAAAAAAAAAAAGAAAACACAGGGGAGTGGAGTTGTTTTCTTTTGTCCGAGGCTGGGATGGGTCATTACTTAATTTAAAATATTTAGTTGGGGCTGATGAGAAAATGTCCGCTCTCTTTGCATGACTCTCTTGGTCTTGGGGCAGTTAAACCCTACTTCACAAGATTTTCTGGCTGCAGTGAGAGTAATTCCTGGCTCTGCCCACCCTTCACAGTCTAGCCTGAATGCTGTTCCTCCACGAAGACTCTCGCTTCTGCCCACCAGGCAGAATTGATGCCTTTCTCCTCTGGGCTATCACCGGATGTGCTGGTTACTCGTGTCCCGCCTACATCCCCAGTCTGTGTGTGTCCCCTCGAGTCTGTGCACATCCCATCAGGGTATCCCCAGCCTCTAGTACAGAGAAAGCATGGGCACGTTTACTGAAAGGCAGGAATGGGCTCCCCCATGGGACCTCCAACCCCACAACTCCTCTGTTCTCTCCTCCTTTCATGGGGAGAACCGCAGACTTCAGCACTCTGATCAACTACTGTAAAAACATAGCTACTTCAAGCTGACGTGTGGGTTTCTTGGCCTCTCACCAGGCTGTGGGTGTGACTGCTCGAAGCCCAGCGATGACTTCTGTCTTGGATGCTGAGCATGGTGGGGAGGAGAGTGAGGAGTGGCAGAGGTGAGTGTGGGGAACACACATCCAAAAGGAACTAGCTCCACAGTTTAGGGGGGTCCCCGAGAAAAGCATTTCAGTTGCATGCAAGGCAACCGGCCAGGGGAACAGGCTCTGTTACCATGAGGGCTGCAGGCAGTAGTGAGTGGTCACTTACTGCCATTTACAACCTTCCCAGCCTCTCCTACTTAAGACCTCTCTTAAAAGCTTTGATCTCACTAGGAGCTCACAGGAAACTGACAGTTTGTTCCCAAATACCCATCCAAGGCTAGCTGTGGTTGCTATACCCACATTCAGTTTATTTTTCCCAGGGAAGCACAGTGTCATGCCTTTAAATCCCTCAAAAATGGGAGTGGAAGAAGGCTGGGGGAAGGAAGGGAAGCTAATGTTTGGGCATCTTCTGTGCAGTGAGGACTGGGCCAGGGGCTTAACAAGCATTTTCTCACTGAATTGTATGATATAGGCGTAGTGATTTTACAGATGGGAAAACAGTGGCTCAAAGAGAGCAAGCTGCTTAAGTGGCCCAGGGTCTCAGAGCTTCCCAGTGGCAGTGCCAACATGCAGGTCTGCTCTCTTTGTCACGCCGTCCTGCCTTGTGGGTGGAAGAAACAGCAGAGAGTGTTCCGGGTGTGACATCGGGAAAGGAGAGAGGGAGGAGAAGAAGAAGAAAATCCTCTGGTCACAGAATGCCTACACTGCCAAGTCATGGCCCTTTTAGTCCCAGATTCATCTCCTAGGTTTCACCTGGCAAGTGCAGCCAACAGGAAACTAGCCCTCAGGCATCACCTGCCCGGGGGACTTATCTGGGGGTACTGGGATAAGAACTGCTAACCTTTCACCACTACCTCCAAAACAGAACATCCTGGGTAGGAAGGGACCCATCTTCCCCCAGGGGACAGGACACCAGGGGAAAGAGAAAGAGAGATAAGCAGGTTACGCCTCTGAGAGGGCGGCAGAATATGGCACCTAGCACTGTGAACGTGCACATAAAAGGCCTTCAAACAATAATGAATCAAAGTCTAACCTGACTGCTCCTCAATTAAAACAGTGCTTCCCCAACACTTCAACCTGGAAGATCCAGAAGACAGAGGGATAATGTATTCACTCTTTGAAAATCTAAAAGGCTGCCTTGGAGAAGAGGACGCAAGGTGTTGTTGTTGTTTTTCTTTTCCTTTTTTCCATAAAGCCCCAGAGGGCAGAACTAGAGTTACAGGGCAGAAATTACCCAGGTCGACAGAAGAAGGACTTCTCTAGCAATCAGAACTGCCCAGTAACGGAGGGGCCTTCTCAGGAGGTGGGCAGCTTCCTGTGCTGGGATGGCCATCTGTCTGGGACGTCACGCTGTGGAATCCAACATGGGACAGGGCTGGATGAGAGGGCCTCTAGGGGCCCTTTCTGTCCCGAGCAGCAAAGACCCTATGACAAACTCATTCAACACTGATTTCCTGAGAACCCACCTCAGGGA